CTTACTGCTGCACTTGTAGACAAAAGCAAGGACACACAAGTGGTGTCACTACCAATACCAAGCGGGGACTGTCTGCAGGCTCCTCTCTTTATCATCCACCAGCTGAATATATGTTGTGGCTGAGGGATATCCCTGAAGGCCACACTGTACGTGCAGCACAGAGCAGCACAGCATGGGCATGGGCCTGGGCCTGGTCAAGTTAACTGACACGTGGATTGCTGACTCCTCCAGGTCCAATGTTCTTCAGGTCAGGATTGCTACTGTATGCTCCTGCACTGAATATTTATTTAAATCACAGGCACTGTCAGTCCCCAGGGAGTATCAGCACCATCTCCCCAGCCTGCGAGGCACTACGGGGTGCTGGAACCGGGGTGGGGTCCGCTCGTCCTTCCAGTGTGGGTGCCAACCATTAAAGCACTGGAGGTGAGGGCAAGAAAAATGTCCCCTGTGAAGACGGCAAATCTGTGAGATTTGTATCTGTACTGCCACAGGAAAAGTCACACTTAGGTTTATCCACTGAAATGCAGAAAAAGTTTGTGATATAGAAATCGGAACGTAAAGCTTTGACGAGAATGGTAATAAACTGGAGGATGGAAGGTGGCACGCAGGGAAACACAGAAAGCAAGCTCAGCGTGTCTGCTGCACTATTTACCAGAGACTTCACAATTTCTCCAATCTGTCCTTTAAGCAAATAAGGTGAAATACTTAATTCTCACATGTTGGCAATATTTGTACTTCATGTTAGGAATATCTACTCAGTGGCTGAAGGCCCACATTTAGTTTTGTTCTGAATCAGCTGTGGCACTTGTTTTCATTTCTGTAGCTTCAAAGTACTCTTGACAACCTATGAAGCTCAGAAAATCCCATGAAACCTCACCTGAAGAAATGGTCCTTTGTTGGCTTTTGCTGGCTGATTTTCAAACACCATCATGTTTTTCATAATCCACCTCTCATTATACAAATATTTTTTAACCTTAGCACAGGCAGTTCCAGGATTTATTCTAAGGACAGACATATTGCAATCCTACTTTTTATTTATTCAAATGGTATTAGGTCTTTAAGAATAAACCATGCTGATGACCTTTGAAGAAAACAGTGGTTTCAGAAATAATAGTAAGTGTGAAGAACTTTTAGCAAGGCCTTATTTATGAAAAAAGCATATTTAAAGTTTTTCAGACAATGGAATAATACTTCTGTCACATAAAGGCATCTTGAAATAACATGTTTTTTGAAGATGCAAACATGGTGACATTTCACGTCATAAAAACTGGGATGCAACCTTAGATAAGGAATCAGCTTCATTTAGGAGCACTAGTGTCATTTATTACCTGAAAATAATGCTGTTTTAAAAATAAAGTTAATAGCATTGGTTCACATCTGCAGAAACACATATAGTATTACTCCAGACTATGTGGCAAAAGAGAAGTTCAGAAACCTTCCAAGCATTCATGCATTCAGTATTGGCAAGCCAACCCCTAGATCAGTATGAGCAAACTCTCAGTCTTGGATGAGGTATTTTTGTTTTGTATTTTATTGTTGCAAATCTTACAGACATTAGCGCTCTGTTAAATAAAGGAATGTAGCACAGTAAATACATCACAACAGAACAGCTGGGCAGAAACCCCCCACCCTGCCCCACCCAAACCAAAAAGCCCACTCCTCTCCCCCTCCCCCCCCGCCCAAATCAAACCACTGCAGCTTCATTACAGAGGTCAGAGACCTGTGGCAAAAAACATCAGAGGAATTACATTCAGTAGATGTGCAGTATCAACATTCCAGGCTCACATATATTTATATATATATTTATATTTATATATATAGATCATTAAATGTTTACAAAGAACAATATTGTTACAAATACAATACTATACTTTTCCCAACGCTTTACAATAATTTCTATTCACCCTCTTTACAGAACAATAGTACAACTTCATAGTCTAGGTACTGCGCTAAATATGTACAAGAGATCTCAACCACATTGCTGTCTTCAGAAACACATTTCATTTAGAAAACAAGGAAAGCAAGCAAACTTGGAAATCCCAACTGAGTCTCAAATTTGAACAAGATTCAAAACAAATGTGTGAAACTTGCCAATAAAAAGAATATAAGGGATGTTTCATCCTTAATGTAAACACTGAAGAGTTAATTAGACTGTATGAAGCAGCAAGGATGAAAAAGAATTCAGGCCTGTCACTGAAGAAGGAATGTAAACCAGCAGTTTGTTCCTTTGAATCTGTTAAAAAATCACATATCTAATCTAACTAACTGCTGCAACAGTCTAGAGAGCTGCCAGCTTGCCCTTTCAAGCTCCTTTTTCTTGAAACTCCCTTTACAAAGTAAAATGGTATTGTTTACAAGACTGTTATCAGAAGTGTGCACACGCTATGGACCTCCCAGTTTGGAAATCTTACGCACACACTGTAATTGGAAAAACTGAGATTTTCTGCTAGACTCTGATCCTATGAGCATTCACTTGCTTAATGTTAAGCACATATTTACCATAAACTGTTCAAGCACTCAAGTGCCATAACTTCACAGAATCTTGGCTGCAAGATTTTCAAAGAAACAGTTGTTTCATCTCTAAATACATTTGCATGTTCAGGTCATCATCATTTCCCAGTGAAGTGAGTTAAAGACCCCACCACATGACCCAGCCAGAACCACAGAAACAAGTGAAGCTGAAGATGTAAACATAGCAGGAACCAGAAGCATGATAACTGTGTCTTCAAGAGTTCACCAAGTTTCCTCAGGCAACTTATGGAAAGGCTGCACTGTATATAATCTTCTAAATTGTACATGGTTATATAGCATATTTACATATATTACTATATATATGGAAAGTTCTGGAAAAAAGTTCAAATGATCATAAACCAGATGTCTACAGTTAAAAAATATACCCACAAGTCATTCACTATCTAGTTGCATCAGTCAGGTAGCAGAGGTAAGTACTAACCTGGAATACTAAAACCGCTCTCTTGTGCAATCTGCTATTGTGGAGATTTGGATTAAATTATATAACAACAAGTAAAATCAAGTCATCATACATTAATCTCAACACTAAAACATATTCACTTACTACAATAGTTTATGCACCACTTCATTATCTCCCTTATGTATTTACTGCCCACTGAAATACAAAGTTTATTCTCTATCTCTGATCAGCCCATGGATATCCATGATTTCTGAAAGCCAAAAATGGACCTCTGGCAAGAGAGCTGAATGGCTCTCAGCAGTGTTTGCACCAAGTGTGCATATGCATGTACACACACACACATCCACTTCCATGAATCTCCGTAGTAATGTCTAGGTATCATTATGTTGCACAGTCCACCCCACAATAATTGATAAACAAGTGACTATGACCAACAGCACATTTGCAAAGCAGAAGTAGTGAGTGGCTGTGTGTGGCCTGCTCTTGTTTTGATCTTACTGAGCCTTTCTATCACAGTAAAACACAGCAAAAACTGTTTCTTTAAAAGAAACCAATGTATTAGCCTGGACTAGATGTATGGTTCAATTTCAGCATAAACACCAGTATACAATCCTGATAAAAAATAACTACAGAGAATGGAGAATTTTCCTCTCACTAGGAAGAAAAACCACTGCTTCTCCCACCCACCCCACCCCTTAAAAAAACCCCAACCAACCCAGCCCCTTTTTCCACTTCTGTGTCTAGCATGCAAGTTAGAGGCCAATCAAATCCTAGATTTCATACATCCCTACAGTTTATCATCTTCATATAAGTGCATATAGTACACGCATATCTCCTTTAAGTGCCATACATATGGAAAAAAATCACAAGTTAAATTACATAACAAAATAAATAAGTTTATTCCCACCTCATCCCTCCCCCTGTTATCTATATCATGAGCTAAAGAGAAATCAATAAAATTAGACAGGTCTTTGGACAAAAATATATGTTAAAACTGGCTCAGAGAACAAAATTACTTAGAATAGTCTGCAGATCTCTTATATTCAAACTTCATAAATAGCAAGCACAATTTTAAAAATGTCTATATACATCGGCACACATGGCTGTGTGCACCAAATTCAGAATAAAGAGCCTAGAAAAAGTGTAGCTATTCAGGAAAGCCCCTCGCTATTTCTCTTGTAGATATTTAAAGATCTTCCCCCCCTCCTTTAACCTCTAAAACAGGCAAGGGACTATAAAAGACATGTTGCATTTAAAAACAAAGTAGAAGAAAACAAAGAATTAGAAACCTGGGGCAGAGAGGGGGAGGCAGCTGTAAAAAATGCCTCCTGAATTACTTAGTGTAAGTAATGCAAGTGTAACATGTTTCAGCAACTCACAGAGTACCTTTTGGGGTCCTACTACCATGAAGAACTGATGACAGAGGGGAATTAAAAGGTGTGTATTTGGACAGACCACGTTACAACAGCAGCATTTACTGAGTTTTCATAAGCAGGTAATTCTTCCTGAGGGCAAAACTATCCTTTTGGTATTCTACTTTCCCTACAGACATAAACTTTTAATATCGAGCTCAGTGCCTGTGGGAAAATAGGGCAAGAAAAGCAAAGTCACATGCAGGATATCCAACAGAACACTTTGCACCCTATAGTTTTATCTGTTTGGTAAAGACATCTTTCATTCAGCAACATTTAATTTACTCAGTTTGTCAAATTACAGCTACAAAAATAAAACTGGTTATGTAGCATGAAGCAGAGTCAATCTTCTTTGTCAGTCCTGCTGTGAATAATGCTGCTGTTATTTTCCTGTTTTGCATGTGGAAGTGCATGAAGTTTCACTTGTAAAAGGATGCAACTGAAATAGTCCCATAGATGTATTTTGCCCCTTCACAATACAGGAAAATGGTAAGGAGAAGAGGAAAAAGGGAGAGAGGAGAGAAAGACAACATGTTTGTGTCTGTGAAGGAGAGAGAGAGAGAGAAAGAAATGTCTCTTCAGACACAGAAATGCAGCACTAGAGAGACAAGCACTGGTGAGGAAAAACATCCTCCATGCACATTGTGATGGTGAAATGTCGGCTTTAGATGTAAACTGGTTGCTCTTGCGCAGTCAACAGCCTGTACATGGCAGCTGGCATAGTCTTCATATGAATCTAGAGGAAACGTGGCAAGTTAATCAATGTTCCTAACATGCATACTACAACAAAGCATTGGTGAAGGAACTAGCTAAGGTCATACAGGACAGAAGGGAAAGGTAAAACCTGAGAGTTTTCATACCCTTATTAAAGTATTGCAGGTGGTGACTTTATGAAACAGTATGTTTAGTATCAATGAACCATCTAAAGTTGTGGACACTTCATATTTTCAGATTAGGGTTCTTCTAAAACATAGGAGAACTACAGGTAAATAATACAAGAAACGGTGTGCTGGCTTGCTCTCACTTCCACTTTTTAGATTTGAATAGCACCAGGCTAATAGAAGTAGAATCACAGAATTATGGAACAGTTTGAGTTGGAAGGGACCTTTGAAGACCATCTAGTCCAAACCACCATGCCACAGGCAGGGACATCTTTCACTAGATCAGGTTGCTCAAAGCCCTGTCCAATCTGACTTCAAACACCTCCAGGGACGGAGCAACCACAACCTCTCTGGGCAACCTGTTCCAGTGTCTCACCACCCTCATCACAAAAAATTTCTTCCTTATGTCCAATCTAAATCTACCCTCTCAGTTTAAAACCACTGCCCATTGTCCTGTCACTACAGGCCCTGGTAAAAAGTCTCTCTCCATCTTTCTTATAAGACCCCTCTTATATATTGAAAGGCTGCAATAAGGTGTCCCTGGAACCTTCTCTTCTCCAGGCTGAACAACTCCAACTCTCTCAGTCTGTCCTCATAGGAGAGGTGCTCCAGCCCTCTCTGATCATTTTCATGGCCCTCCTGTGGACTTGCTCCAACAGGTCCATGTCGTTCTTGTGCTGAGGACCCAGAACTGGACACAGTACTCCAGGTGGGGTCTCACGAGAGTGGAGTAGAGGGGGAAAATCACATCGACCTGCTGGCCGTGCTTCTTGTGATGCAGCCCAGGAGACAGTTGGCTTTCTGGGCTACGAGTGCACATTGCTGGTTCAGGTCCAATTTTTCATCCACCAGCACCCCCAAGTCCTTCTCTGCAGGGCTGCTCTCAAGCCCTTCACCCCCCAGTCTGTACTGATGTTGGAGATTGCCCTGACCCAGGTGTGGGACCTTGCACTTAGCCTTGTTCAACTTTATGAAGTTCAAATGGTTCTACTCCTCAAGCCTGTCAAAGTCCCTCTAAGGGCATCCCTTTCCTCAAGCTGATCAACTGCACCACTCAGCTTGGTGTCATCTGCAAACTTGCTGAAGGTGCACTCAATCCTACTGTCTATGTCATTGATGAAGATATTAAAAAGTATTGGTCCCAGTATGGTCCCTTGAGGGACACCACTTGTTACTGGTTTCCACGAGTTGTTACAGGTAACAGCAATGAACTATGTTATATTGCCTAGACACATTGTCTGCTCTTACCTCACCAACAGCATTTGAGAGAATGTGAACAATTTTCTCATGGGGTGTTGCTACAACACTCTGTCCATTGATTTCAATGATCCGATGGCCGACACGCACACCTCCTCGCTCTGCTATACCTCCTCTCATAAGGCTACAGATCTGGAAGGGAAAGGACAAATTTATCAGGGTCTGGATAAGGAAAGGAGACTTTAGATTACTCATTTTTGCCTGTAACCTGTAAATCAGCATTTAAACACAGAGGCTTGCAACAAATTCTAAAATGTAATCAATCACCGATTCAAAGCAGAATTTGTTAGTGACAAATAAATACTGGATATTCTCTTCCAAGAGCAGAACAAACTGTCAGAAAGGGCTGTTTGTGTTGAACTTCACATGTGCTGTGGTTTGGAAATTTAAGAGTATATGAAGGACCACAGTTTAACAATGTTCAGGATGCAGATGCCTTACAACAAAAGAGGATCAAGGACAGTCTTTTTCTTTTGAGATCATGCAATGGTTTGGTTAGACACATGAATGATGCAGATTGAAAGCAGCCTTTGCTACAGATTTTTGTTCTTCTAACCTAACACAGCTTTTCTGTTCCTCTGGCTGACTCTGAAGTTGTGAAGTAAGTAGAGTCAAAGACAAAAAATAACTGATTAACTCAGCTTTCATATCTTAGACTTAACACACGTGCAAAGTCTTGCTTGCTGTAAGAGAGAAAATGGCAGCTTCCCTCTTCCCACAATGAAACTTACCCACAAATGGATAAGAAGTTTCATGTATGCTAAAGCTTAACCAGAGAGTATGGAAGTTACTTACAATCCCATTCTGCACACTGAAGCCCAACTGATATCTGAGGTCCGGTCTCCTTATCAAGACTGTGGTTACTGGAGGACACCTAACTATGTTCAGTTTAACCCGGGCCTGGTTTTTCAAACCCTGTGAAAAGAAGTCACCATGAAAAATGCTGCCAAAGACTGAGTGAAACATTTATTATAAGCACTGGTGAGGGGGAGCATTAAAATATTGACATGGGAACAGCTCTGAATAAACAGCTCTTTGTATGCATTGTAAGAAAATCTGATCACTGAATGCCAGACACAAGCATCAGAATATGCAGTGAAATGAGTGATACAATACCAAAATACCAAATTTTTCTTGCCAAGAAGCTCACACAGTTGTTTTAAGAAACCTAGCTTCCTGTCAGCTATTTCTTTATTTGATAACACAAACCGTGTGTAAAAAGAATATTGAACAGGTCTGTGCAGCTCAACAAAAAAGCCAATGACTGTGGATAGGAAATAAAATTTTAAATAAGTAGCTAAGATAGTTATAAATAAGTGGCTTCCCTAATGGGATATATTAAAATCTGTCAAGCAAACGGCAGGTCCTGCTCATACCATGCTTCTATAAGCAGTGCTCCTAATTCCCCTTCCTCTTCTCTTCTAAAAGAGTTATATTACATTCATCATTAACTCCTTGTTACCAGAAGAAAATTGAAGGAGGAAAATTTATTTTTACTTTCAGGGTGGTAAAACACTGGAACAGATTACCTAGAGAGGTTGTGGAGTGTGGATCCAACCTTGGAGTTATTTAAACCCTTGTGGTTACTGCCCTAAACAACCTGCTGTACTTTAAACCAAAGTGTTGGTCTGGACCAGCTTCTGCGGTGACTGCCAGCCTCCGAGACTCTGTGATTGTATGACTCGACAAAAACTCAAATGTAAAAATGCAGATAACTGCAATCTGACCCCTTGTACAACTTCAAGTATTCAGAGCTCATAGAGATTGTTAAGGTACTTTTCTGAAATGTTTCATTCACACAAAGGATTAGCCATAAATACATACATTAAAAAAATCCACATCAAGAAAGAAATGCTTTATAAAGAATACAGCAACTTCCACCTTACTTAATACAACACCTACCAATTCCAGTAACTCTTCAGAATTCCTTTTATATGTACAGTTGAAATCTGGATCCCACTGCAACTAACAGGTGTCTGACACTGACTTCAAAAGGTGAACTCTGAAAAATAATTCCTACTATAGCTAAGGTAATACACTGAAGTCTTTGTATCCAGTTTACTGCTGCTGATTCTGTTGAGCTAAACTCCAGCTTCAGCAGTGACTTGAATAACTAGACTGGCATCCTGCCAGGGTGAAGTGCCTTAGAGTCTGTTTTCTTGTCAGTGCCTTAAACTGGATGCAATCATCACATGGGAAAGAGCTGCCACCACTTCCACACAGTGCTGAGCTCAGCTTGGCTCATTATTGAAAGTGGCTCCAAGAGAAGGGGCATGTGAACACAAAATGACAAAGCATGTGGCTGTGGGAACTGCCTCTACTCCACTCTCAGTAGAAAGAAGGTTTGAACTCAATCTCTTGCACGACTATGGACTCCTGCACTCTGGAGGAGTTAGCAGCACACCATACATGCTCAAGGGCCATTCATCTTCCATACAAAGGTCTTCACAAAACACACATTGTAGAAGACAGGGACTAATCAACCTCTACTAAGCTGTGGGTACGATATTTACTCAAAAGTCTGAGGGGCTTTTGCCTCAGCGTTCTAAATCCAGCAGGGCAGGAGTCACGCAGAGTACTGGAGATTCACATTTCTATGAGGAATTTAGGTGTTTACCTTCAGTCATCTGAGTTCACTTAGGTTAAATGCCCTCAACAGAGTTGATATCATTGTGCTTTTACTTTCCTGACGAATGTGCAAGTTATTTATATGTATTCCTTGAAAAAAAAAGTAATGTGTACACCAACAAATAATCTTCTAATTTGACAGAAAGCCCGTATATTTCAAAAGTGGCTAATTTCCAGTATTATGCAGACTGGTAATATATGATGATTGGCAACAAAACAACTGCATCACTTGACCAACTTATTCGCTTATCTAGTCCCTGAGTCTGCTTCAGATAGTAGCCAGCACCAGATGCTTCTGAAAAAAATACAAGTAGCATAATACAATTAGGGAATAACCACCACATATGGAAAGCTTCTGAACTTTGTCAGTTTCCAATTGGGTTATGGTCAATTAGTAGCAGAGATTACATCCATAATACTGAAATTCTCTTATCTGAAGTGCTTGCAAGATATTCTTCTTATCTATACAATATTCTTATCTTTTCATATGGGTCTTTACAGCATGCTAAAGAAATCTGAAATCCTGAGATACTTCTGCCACATCTAAATGTGTGCTTAGATCATGCAGTGGTATATATACGTGTTATCAGAAGCACTATATGAACAGCTCCAGTTGTATGGTTATGAAGACCTGCAAACATACAGACTGTCTTCTCTTTAGAAAGACAAAATAAATGGCTAGCAGTTCCTATGGCAACAGCAGTATCAGTGAGGAAGAGAAAGGTCTGCAGAAGCTGGAAACAGCAAAGCTGGTTGTTTCTGTTTTGAGAAAGTACAGATAAGCACAACAGAACTCTACCTGAAAAGGCTCTGAATCACAGAAGTGTTACACACCAGATTTAGAAATAAAACTGATGTGGGATAGGAAACAAGTACAGCTAACACAAAAAGCCTAAATTTGCAGGGAGTTTTGTTCCACTGAAGCTGGCACAAAGATACTTAATATGATTTTTTTTTTTCCTTCCTTCACAAATCTAAGACTGTTTTTGCCATGTTTTTAGTATGCTACACTTCCAGGCTATCATTTCTACTCACTGAATCTAAAATGGCTGGTTCAGTGATGTATGCATCTATTAGTCATCAGAATTCAGCATTAACATTTTTGGAAACCAGAATGGGAAGTCTTTATAGCAAACATCTTAGTTCAAGTATTAAGAAACTAATCCATGGACAAAAAAAATAAAAATTTACTTTGTAAATTTTTAAAATTTTCTATATTTACTTTGTGAATGCAAAATTTACTTTGCAATTTAAAAAAGTACAACACGCAAAAAAACATATTACATATACAAGTTGTTACCAGAAAGTTGCCTAAACAAATAAGTAAGTTTAACAGGCATATTCCTAGAAATCAGAGGAGAATTTCTGTATATTACACCACCAGCATTACACTACAGGAGCTCCGTGGGGCTATTTCAATAAATAACAAAGTCCATATAGCTTCACCTCAAACATTCCCTAGTGATGCATCTTTCCAGCTCTTGAAATTTTGATGTTTAAATACCTACTCCTTTGCATGCTACAGCTACCCCAGTCACTGTTCAGTTCCAGTTGACCTGCATGCTTTTTGCAGTCACATACTTTCCTGACAACCAGAAGAAAGCTCTTCTAATTATAATATCCCATCTAGCCAAGTGAAGAGAAGCATCATACTTTCAAATAACTCGGGCAAAGTTTCTACAGAGGATTTTAATTCAAAGTTTAAATGTTTTAAAAATAGTTACAAAGAACAACAACAAAAGCATCAGCTCTATTTCAGCCAGATACTAGGCGGCATTTAAACAGCTAATATGGCCTAGGACAATATGAGGTACCTGTGCCTCCATTTGTCACATAAAATTTTAAGTGTATATCTGGTAATATCTTCCTTCTGAACAAAATATTCTCTTGTGGAATGAAGTTCTGCACAGAGTCCTTGTCGATACAGGTAAATGGCACAGCTCACTTTCTGGGAGTCAGAAAATTGGTGTAGCATAATTCCCACTGTAGTTTAAAGATGATGAATTGGAAAGTGCTATACAAACATTTGGTAAGAATTTACTTAAGAGTTCTACTTTCTGCTCACCTACTATGTAACATTTTTAAAATGTGTAACTTCCAGAAACATCCTCCATACCTTTATAATGCTCTGGCACGTTGAGAGTGGTAAACCAACCAAACTGGTCCCATTGATTGACATGATCTGGTCCCCTATATTCAGTTTCCCAGACTTCTCTGCTGGTCCTCCATGCATCATGTTGGCTATGATAACTGTAGGCAAAATGGATCCCCAGCCAGACTCCACAATTACTACACCTAGGATTTCTCCCTTTTGCTTTTCAATGTAAACCTGTATCATAAGAAAAAGTTTCAAAAAAAAAACCTTTTCCACGCTATTAAACAAACCCCCCCCCCCCCCCCCCCCCCCCCCCGCCAAAACATTCATATAACCAACAAACATATACCCCTCCTTATTTGCAACCTGCCTTCCTGATTCAAAGGCAAACCAAAATAGAGTACACATTTTACTATGTTTCATTTGTATTCAAACATGAAATAATCAGCACTACATAATATAGATTTTGCTTAGTGTGCAATACTCCTCACAACGTATTTCTGCACATCAGCAGAGGAAATTGGAGTGGAAGAAACCCTGGTGCCATGGGCTTTGGCAGACAAAGGTAAACAGGAAGAGATTGCAAGAGTTTATGACTGAGGACTGGAAAACCACTATCTGTATGTTCCAGTAGTGCACTGATTCATCTTATTAACCAAGCTGCAAATCTTTTCAGCAAATATAACTCCTTAAAGTCTGGAATCAGCCACTTTCACAAACACTTGTGCCTTTATAAATTTTATAGTGTTTACTGTAATCTGTTAAATTGTACTAATCTGTTAATCTGTTTTAAATTCATTTTCAAACGTGTCTGAAAATTGTTTGGTGAAAAGAACACAGACAGATGGTAAATCACTTCACTGCTGATAAATTTGGGGTTCACTGTTTGCCTTTGAAACAGAACAGATGACAGAGTGTCCTACTTGGGAGAACATTCTAGACTCACTGAGGTCATTTATAGGAAGTATTAATGGTTTTCTGATTTCTGCCAGCATGGGCCTGCAACTGGTACAGAGCAGCTTAATGCTATTATGGAAAAAAAATGAGACATACGTCTTTGCAATTTTCAGATTTGGAGAAGTGAATCAGATCATCATTGTACATGTCCTGGGTATTGAGCAAGTCACTATATTCCTTCTGGCTAAGGTCTTCTGGGTTGATTCCATTTGCCCTCAGGAATTCCTGGTAGGCCACACTAAATGCTTGACCTATGGACTGTGCAATCAGCTGTGCCTGTAGCAATTCCCAGAGAAGACAAAAGAAAAAAGTGAAACATTCTGATGGTCTTGTCCACTGATACTTTCTCTGTTACAATCACACTGCAAAATGGATCATCAAGTCGATGAACCTACAAGTTACTGCAATCCAGTTTAAAAAATACTTGTGCATTGAAAATTAATTTAAAAGACCCACAAAATGTTAACACATTCACCTGTGCCATGAATCCACCTTGGTAAGCAATTATAAATGAGAAATACAAATAAAGCCATCCTTTCACAGGTAAGAACTGCTAATATAAATGTAAAGCTATACCCGTTGCAGTGACTGTAGCTTGCACCTACAACTGTTCCCACATGTGCAGCTCCTAGCTGGCTCTCCCTCCTAGCAGAGGCAATGCCATTCTCTGACAAGCCAGCAGTGAAAATGAAAATGTCTACTAGAAAACACACAACTACATTTAAGAGACTATTTCCACCTTTTCACACCCTCCCTTAAAACCATCATGTCTATATTGGCTGCTCCTACCTCAGTCTCAGATGAAACAGGAAAAGGGTAGCAACTGGTGACTGGATCCTGGCCTTGAAGTGACTGGAAATGGTCACACCCATCTCCTTCTCCACCCTGCTACCTCCATCAATCTTTCTTCCCTACATTTCTTGTTTCACTCCCTCCAACTTCCATGACTCTGCCAGTTCCCTGCCCCTTTCCTCCTCAGCCTGTCCTCTGTGTGTACCCTTTTGCACCTGCAGCTTCCCATAGCCTTCTCTACACCTAAAGCCACCAAATGTGCCACTCAATACACTGCATTGCTCCCACCATAAGGTGTTCTACATCTGCAGCAATGGGGCAGAAACTGGGCGCAAGGCAGACACAGGGAAAGCTCTGCATCATGCAAGGTGGGGGATGCAGCTGGAAACAGACCAGAGGGATGCCTCCCTTTAAGGCAGTGATCATGGTTACTATAAGACAGGTCACGGACAGGAGAGGAAAGCAGCACAGCGTGGTGCAGAGTAGTGCTGTACATAATTGCAGTGACACATGCAGTAAGCACTGTGTAGTGCACAGGAGTTGGCCATGATGTGTGCTGAAACAGTCCCTTGGAGCACAGTGCTGGCTGTGGAGAAGGGAGAGAAGAGGAGAGCTCCACAGCTGACAAGGTAGGCCTGGGGGAGTGCTGGAGGTGAATTAATACTGCTGAGATGTATTTTTATACAGCCTACCAGCTATACTTAAAGTCCAGTTTGGTCCCTAACAAAGGAAAGGTTCCCAACCCTGAAATAACAAGTTGATTGTATCTTAAAACAACTCAAGGTAGCACTAAAGCTGCTGATGAGAATAGCATGATTGCTGGTGCTGAAAAGGCCAATATCTCAACTGGCAGTATTTTACCAGTGCTTGGATCAACCTGGTTTTGACAGCAAGAACAGGACAGCAAGAACATGGGAAAACTACACCTCCATAGCTCAGTAACATAAGCGAGGAGATAAATGCAGACTTTACATTCATACACATGTATCTTCTCTCCAGGTAGAGATCAACTCCCATTTAGACACACAGCATTTGGACACATCACTAGGGTTGAGCTCATTTGAAGATCCAGCTCTACAGTTGAAAATCTGGTGCTGTGCTCCTTAGATAATGACTTTTCCAAGCAGAGACACATTCTGGCCAACACCCACTTGAGGGCTTACAGCTTCTATGTCAGTTACTGAGTAAATTCTTCTAAATACCCAGCAGTACCAGAAGAAGAAAAGATGACAATGATACATACGTGAGTTTTATGATACAAACAGGCTGTACTACTCCACTGGATGTACAAGATCTTTGAAGCTGCCATCTCCTTGCTGCTAACAGGTGCTACACTGTTTCCATTCTCTTTCTTAGTCATTTGGGTATTTGAGATAAATTTTGCAAGCTTTTTGTGAACTAACAACTATGACAAAGGAGAGCTGATATATAATCTCCTGCAATTTCTCAGCATATTTTCACATCACTGAGCAACGCTTTTATTGGATCTACAGGTATGTACCTTCCAGGCCAATATCTAGTGACACAGGGAGGATCACATCTGACACAAAGATGGGCTGATCCAAACAAACCACAGAAAGTAACATCAGTGATCCCCAAAAGGAAGCATAGATTCCAGCTAGCCAAAGTATTAATAGCAGCCTGGGAAACAATCCAGGAAGTCTGGATCATAGTCAGACCACCACATGCTGAAGGAAAATAAGAGCCAGCCTCTGGCATCTGACAGTTTGGTTTTTGCTTTTTCAACTGGCTAGTAAGAGAGCTAGCAGAGTCCAAACTTGTGACTAGAAATACAGAAGCAGCAGCATCAAAGCGGGCAGCATATGAAGTGATATTAAGCCAAAAAAAACCCCATTTGCTACTCTTCTTATTTTCACACCAGTTTCTTGAAAGGCTTTGCAAAACTGGCTTACATGGATTTTGGGGGAAAAAATATCCACAATTTTTTATGCTCTCTGTCAAAATTTTGGTAGTGGATTACTTCTATCAGTGCTCTTGTTCTTACTTTTTAACCTCAGCAGTGGGTCATATATGTACATTCACCTGCAACTAGATAATTTAACCAGACATGGGTTTAGAACAGATTCACTGTTACATAAAATCAGCTGCTTATTCAAGAAAACCTTCCCATCTCAGAGTCCTTGCTGATACACTGTGGAGTGGAAGACATACGAGCATTTTATAAGAAACTGATATTTTCACCTCACTTGTCTTAAGTGATACTCTGCTATTCAGAGGGCTTAGAACTGAGATTTTTTATTTTCCCAAATTATTAGGGCTAACTTGATTATGATCCTGACAACTACATATCTAGCCACTTCAATCTGGTATGTTTAATTTTATTTACCTTTCAGTTTACTGAGCTTTAAAAAGTGCATAAAATCAGTAAATTATGCACGTTGATTGTGAACACAGGATATCAAGTCCTATATAATGTAACTTAGTAACCTGTGCCATAGACTAAAATTTACTCAGCTGTGTCTCTATTCAGCATGCTTTGGGATTGCCAGAATCACCAACTTTCTCTGCTGGCTTTTTGACATGATGTCAGCAACTATTCCCCAACACAAGTCTCCTCCTCCCCCTTCTCCTCTTCTGTCCCCCCCCC